ATCACATCACCTCAGCATCAACTATGATGTCCCCTACGTAGTTACACGGCTCATCTCTCTGCCTATGTTCCATCTGTTCGGGTCGCTGTGGACGCACATCTTCCCCATCCGCTACGGCCAGCCGCTCTTCGTCCTCCCGCGCTTCGAGCTGACCCAGTATGTCGCCGCCATCTACCACTACCAGATCACGGAGACCTACATGGTCCCCGCCATGATCCATGTTTTCAATCGCAGTGCTCCCCCGATCGCAGACTACATGGGAACGCTGCGGTACGTCGGCGTCGCGGGTGCGCCCATCGACGGCCCGTCGATGGAGCAATTCCAGCGGCTGCTGCACCCGCACGCCCGCGCGACGCAGCTCTGGGGTATGACCGAGGTCGGGGTCGTTTTCCAGACCCGATACGGCGAGCAGGGGAACCCCGGAAGTATTGGACGTCTGTTACCTGGGTACGAGGTGCGGCTGGTCGGTCAGGACGGCAACGTGGTGCAGGGGGAGTCTCGACCGGGGGAGTTGTATGTGCGCGGGGCCGGGGTGCTGATGAGCTACAAGGGACGCAACGATGCCAAAGATGCGTATGGCTGGTTCCGGACCGGCGATGTGGCATATGTCCAGAACGGGCAGTACTTTATCGTTGGACGAACCAAGGAACTCATCAAAGTGAGAGGGTAAGTTTACTGTTTTTCTCCTCGTTCCGCCTGTTAATGCTAACTTGGACGTAGATGGCAAGTTGCCCCCGCTGAACTCGAAGCGGTCCTCCTCAAACACCCGTGTATCGAAGACGCCGCCGTCACAGGCGTCACCTCCAAAGACGGCAGTACAGAATTGCCCCGCGCCTTCGTGGTTAGGGCGAAGGGACCGTCTGCAAATCGGCTGACAGCGGAAGAGGTCTACCAGTTTGCACGCCGTCAACTGGCCAGCTACAAGGCGCTAGACGGGGGGATTGTCTTTGTGGAGGAGATCCCCCGCACGGCCAGCGGGAAAATCCAGCGCTTCAAGCTGTCGCAGATGAACACGTACCGCGACATGGTGTCCAGTCTGCTGGCGCGGTTCAGGGGAGCCGCTAGTGGACTGGGGGGGTTGGGGTTGGTGCACAAGGGACGTGTCGCCGTCTAGTTCACTACGCGACCAGGCACTTTTTTCACTTTTGACTTTTTTTTTTTTGCAGTTTTCCAGGGCTACGGTCAACAGGCGTGGGCATAAGGCATAGGTACAGGCGCTGATGGGATTGTTTTGATTGGTTTTTACTTCTTTGGATATACGTACTTACGTACAGAGTACCTAGTTACTTGGACAGTCGCACTACTCCTACATCAGGATAGATGATTAAAATGACACCGAACCATACCATGTCCACTGAGTATCTCCAAAGGCTCTAACTCTCAACCAAAATTGAAATCCAGTATATCCAACCAATGAAACCTGCGATCTCGTCCCCAAAATCCAGAATTTGTCATTGTGGGTTCTGGCCCCGCACGCTTACCTTAGTGTTGTCTTTTTACTTTTCCCAGTGATCCTGGCGTGCGGCCGCAAATCTCGGCTCGGCTGGCCGGACCAAGATGTGGCGCAGCCCATTTCTTTGTCTAAAATCCCAGTCACCGCCTGTACGGGCTATTGCGAACATGATGCGTAGAACTTCCTCTGTAGGTTCTCGTTGAGATGCAGTATGCTCCCCTTGCATCATAAGCTTATGCACGGTGCATGCACCGTGCATGTGTCAGGTAGAAAATTCCTCCCTCACGTACGTGTGATACAGTCTATTTAGTCGAGGCTTGAGAGTGCGCAAACCCTAATTATCAGGTAGAGTTCTGGCTCACCGATAATATACACAGAGTAAATTGGCATGACTGGGCCGAGAGGACGGTGAGATTCCGTTGAAAAGTGGGATCCTATTCTTCTAGAACGGATCTTGGTACAGAATGCGAAATCGCATGCGAAGCGCGATGCAGGAAGCAAGGTACCTACTCTTTTGTAATCCTCAGGCATTAGTTCATGACATGCACGGTTACGATGCATGACCATGGCTTTCTGCCACGGCCTTGAGCATGTTGGACTTGGTTTATGGCCATGGAGGCATGTGCGTATCGTATTGTCAGCTGGATTCCAAAGAAACAGGTTCTGAAAAGATCCGAGTAACCAAACAAAGGTACTTTTGGGAACACAACATGTGAAATGCTCCCTCGAGATGGCCAATCATGCTCGCAAAGTAGTGAGTCTGCGATGGTTTACAATACGCTCTGTATCCAGATCTCGAACATTGGTCAGTCATTCGCTTGGTGGTGTTCACATAGTTGTCGCCTCTGTGTCGTACAAAATCTACTGGCTTACAGCGCATACCTGGATTTATGGCTTTAATTTTTCATGCGCACGAGATATAATACGATTGAGTAACGGGCTCGACCGCAAGCTTCGCCTTGCCGCTTTGGGTATATTGTACGGAGTACTTTGGCCTCTATGCATGAGTAGACCGTCATGTGTACGGAGTACTACCCTTGCTTCTCTTCCCTCTGCATCCTGTTTTGACTCTTCTTGCTTCGATTGTTTTCGAAAATGGTCGAAAATGGTGCAATTGGCGCCTAGAACGACTGCTGATCAACTCCTGCCACCGTGACGTCCAGTCAACTCATTCGATTGGGTACAATCATATAACGCCAATCGAATGATATCTGATCGATGGATGATCGGCCTAATGTCATACTGAGCGGAATAGATTGATCGACACTTTATCTCATGCCTCGACCATACGACCAGGTGCATCGATGTAATTAGAGTTGCCACTTTGTGCCAACAATCTACTCGAATAAACAGCGGAGGGAACTTGACCGAGGATCGCCATGAGCCCGTGTCAAGAATCCTATCGATCGACCGGCAAACGAGGTCAACTGAGCCGACCGATGGGTTCAGCTCTTTGCTTTTTCTTCCTCTGTCTGGAGTCCGATCTGAATTCTGAATGGGTGTCTGACGCCGGCACTATTGACTTTTAGCGCAAATAGTTGTTGCAATCTCCACCTTGTGGCGCAGGCTCACCAGCCACCCGTCGAGACATCTTTCAAAATCGAGCCGAGGTCATACATTTTTCTGAGTCAATGCAATCATTCCGGTGGCGCCATATTAACCACAGGCCTTCGCCGGACACTGGTATCGCGACATCTGGTCTGGTCATCAAAGTGTGCGAGATCTTGAGTGACGATCATTCGGCTGATATGCCTGTGACCCGATGCGGCAATAGACACGGTTCACTGGGCAGTGGTCACCGCCTCTCCTCATCTAGTATCCCGCGCTACGGGCGACATGGGATGATAGCGTAGTAGATTATCAATTCTTTTAGGCCAGAGGCATAGAACACGGGATATGTGGGTTACAACAAATGGTCAACCCCTCATCATCGACGTCATGGTGGCCTTGGTTCAGCGCCGACCAGCGTTGGGCGAAGACAGGCCTCCGAGTCCTCGATCTCAAAGATCATCCTTTGCAAAGACGCGCTTGACAAGTGTCTCCAGTTAAGCAAATCATTGATCCTTCAAGAACCCAGCAGCCTTGATCAGCAAGAGACCAGCCGGCCAAAAGCCTCGCTTCAAATTATAGAACGTCCCAAAGGGGCAGGTCGAGGATAGTGCATCATCCTCGTGGAGCGAACTGCATTGGCAAATATCCTGAATGGTTCATGCATCAATGCAGCCTAAGAAGCGAACAAACAAGTCCGTCAAGGTGGTGCCTTGATAATTTTGCGAATCGCTATAGCCGTTCGTCCTGGAGTTGCCCGATTTCTGACATTTGAGCTCAGGGAGTGTAGACACCTTTCGCCGGCCGGTATCATGGACGCTATTTTCTGCTAGGACTGGCATTTTCTTGGGTACCTGACGAGGTGCCCCGATAGACAACCCATCGCGGTCATTCTTTGTCTAGAGTGACGCATTCCCAGGTCAGCCATGCGTTCACCTCCAGAAGGCATAGCGCCCTCGGGCAGCAACCGCAGGTTGCAATACTTTAAAGAGGTTGGTCAACTGAACGAACATGTGCTGCACACGCTTTGCAATGAACTCCCCAGTCGCGGCAATCTCACATCAAGTGACGTACTGGTCTCGCAAATCCCAATGTCGCTGGTAACCTCCCCGCATTTGTGTCAAGAACATCCTAGTCAGGAGAATGGACGGAGCGACTCACTTTGGCCGCACGTCGTAGTGATTCTCCTCCAGTCAACCAGGATCGGGAGACCTGTCCTATACACCTCGACGACATGCAAACCCCTGAGTGCTATACAGTAGTGTGGTTTTCTCGCCATTCGTATGCTTTCCTGGCCTCAAGCAGTGAGCATTAGCGCGAATACGCGGTCGGAATAATCCTCGAGGATCTACCCTCATCTTGTGATGTGACAACTCAAGAAAACAAGTTGGAATTGCCCAGCAGCATTTGGAGCGAGTTATGTTCTGACCCTTCATCTCCAATATTTGATTCCGAACCGCAGCCTCATAACGGTGACATGGACTGAAGGATCAGAACTTTGCATGGGGCATATTGCACGGTAGACATTGGTTAAGTTTCAAGTTCGAGCGGTGCTTCAGTAGAGCGGCTTTCACATTATGTATGTACATGCTGGTGCCATATCCGGCCTTTAGACGGGCGCGAATGCGGTGAAACGTGATTGCTGCTAACGCCCAGCTAGAGCTCGGCGGGGTGTTATGCCGTGTCTTCAAACAATTGGATTGCTTCGCAGCACCAGCAAAAACGAGCTCGCTTATGCAAAGTACCACGTCGCCGTTGCGGTCTGAGTCGATGTGACTGCTGACGCCCTGACATGGGAGGCGCGCCTGTGCCGGGATCATCCCAGAAGATCCTGGCAATCGAAGCCAGTCATGAACAACTCCAAGGAGTAGCCGACAGCGGAATTGTAACAGGCTTCTTCAAGGATAGAATATACCGGGCTAGCATTTCACTTCTCTTCAAACCGCGGCCGTAGAATGCGTAGGGAACGATGATGCGACATTGCCCTGGCCTTTGTGGCTTAAAAGATACCGTATCCTTTCCACCAGACACCCCATATCAACGGCCCCAGTGCGCCTAAAGCAGCTGCGCCCACTGGAATTTCCAGAATGCTCCACACCCATAAAGTTCCGATGGCAGGGGCTTGCTTCATAACAGCATAGTATGGATCCTCGTTGGTCATAGTCATCAGCTTGGTTCCCAGGAGCACGGCAACAGGCAAGAACGCCATTGTCCGCAGACTCGGGGGGAAAAGCAGCTTCCGAACGAATGAAAGCGTGAGCTTGTCTTGAGACCAAGGGAAGAGCGAGATTTTCTCCTGCTTCTTATTTCCTCTGTGCACTGATACGACGTGTCCATGAGCAAGATGGACGAGCAGCGTCAGCATGGGAAATGCAATAAATGCAGACTCGCGCAGGAGCTTTTCCAACACGATCGTTTCCGCGTATTGGTGAGCCGCCAGGTAGGCCAGCGTAAGGTGTAATGTCGTCAGTGGTACGGAGAGCAGGAGCGTGTCGATTAATGGGGGAATCGGTTCATCAACGCCGTCGTCTGCTGCGTTCGGCTCGATCTGCGAGCCCTCAGTCGCTGGTCCTGCCCGGTCCTTCTCATCGCTTTGTTCCTTTGACGACAGCATTGAAGGGTTGAACTGGGAAATCTTGCCAGATAACGGATCCACGGTCATGAATTGCGTTTCTGGACCCGACTTTGCAGTGTCCCTCTGTTCTTTGGCCAAGATCTCATTTTGTCTCTCAGCAATGAGTTCCACCAACGTCCTTCGCTTCGGTACGTCGTCGGGGGACGTTTCTTGAGGATGGGCTAAAGGGATCGAAGATGGATCGAACGAGGAGTCACGGGTGGAAGCTGCGGCTGTTCCTGCTGCTGCTCGTCGCTGTTTTCGATTCCTTGGCCCTTCCATTTTGGCTACTGTGCTACTCGGAATGTTTGCAAGTCTGTAGACTCGTGGTTGCTAGTCTTCGTGGAGGATAGGATAAGAGTTCGGCATCTGTTGATGGTAGAAGCACAAAGCTAGCAAAACCACGGGACCGCCTCGGAATTAGCGGGGTTACCATTCAATATCCACCTTCCCTACGATCCCAGACTCTCAGTCTCACAATCTCACCAAGTAGTATTCGTTTGTATGTAGCCACTAGCAGAACAGCACATATCTTGGAACATCCATCACTCAATGACTTTTTGAAGGCTAAGACGCATCATCCCCGTTCTCTTTATTTTTGACGATTACATGATCTCTCAGAACTTCAAGATATATCATCTAACACTCGATGCTTCACTCTACCACGCTCGCTTGGATCAACTTAGCCAGCTTGGTAAAGAGCTGGGCCGGCAACTATATGAGAGTTGACGCTGCTGATGTTGAACGGAGTCACGAAAAGATCAGTGTCCATGACTGCGATAAAGATGGTACCATTGATCGCCGGGTCGCCGGCATATGTCGACAGGTCGGGCTGAACGGTCGTTCCATAGCTTTCATTGCCACTGGTGCTTAGTGTCGAGTACGTGATATTCAACTGCGAAGCCCACAGGACGTATTTCGGGGCTCCCGCAGTGGTGTTCGTGATATAGCTGTTGTTTGGTCCCACAGGCTTGCCAGGAGCGTCCCACGACAGGGTAACTGTTCGACCCGGATAGGAAAGGGGGTTTGTTCGATTGTGGGTGATTGCCGGGCTGCAGCCCTCGCCCACGGTCGTCTTGTTCAAACAAGTCTCGGGTTCGGTCACGTTCCGGCTGGCCAAAACGTTCATGCCGCCACTTGGAACCGTTTCATTGACCGCAGACGATCCATTGGTCCGGTAAGGATTAGGCTGGTTATCGATATACAATGCCGGGAAGTTCTGCCATACCAGTCTCGTCTGGTTGGCAGGGCAGTAGCTGATATGGGGAGCCAACAGTGTCCATGCCCAAGAATGAGGCACCCCAACCTCGAACCACACAGGCATTGGGAAGAGACCTTCAAACTGGCGGAAGATGAGCTGCTGGCGAGCCTCCGTGCTGATAGCCTGGGTCAGGAGGCCCGCTGCCTCTCGCGAATCCAGGTGAGGCAAAAAGCCGTAGACACCAGCCTCTCCGAAGCGGGTGAGCTTTTGGCAGAAATCTATGAACTCATGAACGGTCCTGTAAGGATAGTTGTAGACGCATTGTCTAGGAGCCTGAGCACCCAGGAGGTTGGTCAGCATTGTTGCATGTCCAACCTCCTGGTCAGCCATGAATTCAATCAAGTATCGGTCTTCTGCCGTGAGACCAGCGGCAGTGAAATCCTCTACGGAGAATCGAGCCAGGCCATCATGGAACAGGTCCAGCTCGATGTACTCGGTGTAGAGCGCAAGGGCCTGGCAGCAGTCAGCTAATGTTCTCAAAGCTAATCGGTGGAAGCCCACCAGTGACTCGTAATCAAAGTCGCTCTTCACGTTGTAGATAGGAGTTGTGCCGTTCGTCCCAACGCCGCCTGCTGGTACATAAGGAGCCGGCTGGGGGTCGTGGAGCTTTCCATCGCTTGGGTAGCTGGTAGCTCCTGGAGCCGGTCCCATAGTCGGAATCCCGGAGCCAACAGAGCTGGCACTCTCGGCTCCACTGGTCGTGGGAGTCGCGATATAGGAAGAGTGTGGTAACGAGGTTGGGTGGCTCACAATAGGTGGCACCGAAATAGGGGGTACGTCGGCTCTCCTCACATTAGGGACTGCGAGGGTGGGAGGTAACCCACCAAGCACGTTGACCAGCAGAAAGTGTCTCCAATTCATGGTGATGGGTAAAAGGGCGATATCCTCCTGACATCCAGAAGGCAATTGAGATGCTACCCAGTGATGTATTAGGGTACCTTTCCAGCGCCCTGAGTGCAGCGTTGCGAAGCTACATATGAGGGCCAACCTGCCTTTAAGATATGGTCAGAGCCAAGGGGTTCGCAATTGACGCAACTTATTCGTGATCAAGACATGACGCTGTCCTCATGCCGCTGAGGTTTCCAGATCTAGGTTGCTATCCATAGTACCGTTCCAGCGTCATAACTTGATTTGTCTCCCGAATTCCCAAAATCAGCATCGGAATTCCTTCCCTCAGGACTTCGCACACCAAGTACCCCAGCGAGATCCATTTGTGGTTAGGTACTCAATATCAAGGTGTGTCGCCATGCTACAGTCAGCCATGAACGAATAATTCATGGTGGAAGGCTGGAGCAGCTGTATAGCTCCGGCTCTGAAATTCCTCCGGTGAGGAGGCGACGTCAGCTCCCAAGAATGGCAGCTCTCAAACCAACTTTCGTTATACATTCGGAACTTATAGACAGAATACGTTGGTTCGCCAAGCGTTGAGCAATCAGTAGTCCACAACCACGAGCAGCACGGGATACTGCGATTCGTCTGCAACATCAGGTCTTCACGAGGCATGACATATATCGCAAAAGATCTGCTTTATAGACAGGTTACTCTTCCGATATTCCGATCCTATCAATTGATCTCGTATGTTGCATGCCAACAGTAAAGAGGATGTAGCGGATCTCCCGGTTACTATGACGTGGGATCAAGATCACCAAAGTGGACTTAAAGGAAGTGTCATCCGACGAGTAAATTGTCACCAGGATCTTATTGAGCCGCTGAATTCTCGGGCAGGTGATTCAGAAATAGACACTCAGTAGCACTGAAGTGTCATCCTGCTGCCACCTTGGTCATAGTCGTGGTTGGTTCTATGCGAAGGTTGATTGATTATCAGAAAGAGACGTTTTTTGCACGAGAAGGGTTCAGATAAGCATCCTGGCTTTTCCTGCTTTCGAATCTGAACCTCTCTGAAGCACTTGAAGCATGGACTGTAGATATCTCACATCATGCTTCGGGTTACTGGGATTTATGGGCTGTTGGTGTCGATCATGCATATCTCTGGCTTTGTCAACCTGGGGTGCGATCTCTCTCTCAGTAAATTGTACTTACTTTTCCCACTCGGAGCTCCAAGGACACACTTGGACACTGTTTTCTGGACCTGGCGAATTTCCATAAATCTAGGTTTAGCGAAGGAGAAAGTCATCAAGGAGCATTGCCAGAGCGTCGGATTTCCCCACATCGGCCATGTTTGCGAGATGCGGGGGTCTTGTATGACGCAAAATCCTCTAAAAGGAACAAATCGACTGTCTTCTCACTATAAAACTGTCCTACAACACTTGCTTTTAGATGAACTGATCAACTCTATCATTTTCTGTAGAAATTTAACACTTCTGGTACCTGACATTGCATTCCGCTATTGGCAGCGCGCTCGGTGGTTCATCATCATGTCGCACCTGCAAGCTTCGAAATTGTTCTCCATCCAGGGATGTGTTGCTGTTGTGACCGGGGCTGGAAGTGGTGAGTCTCCTCGAAGATATCTACCACTTTATGTGAAATGCGTTGTAGTTTCTTCTCCGCCCCTGCAACTCGATTGTGTTCGTAGATTTTGAACAAGATCCCATAGGCACTGACACATCCCTCAACAGGATTGGGACGTACAATGGCCCTTTCGCTGGATGCGAACGGTGCCTCAAAGGTCTTCATCATTGGCCGACGCGAAGACAAGCTACAAGAGACTGCATCCCTCGCAATCAACAAGACGATCATAACCATCAAGGGCGACGTCTCGTCTAAGGAATCACTACAGGCGGCCTACGACTCCATCGCATCTCAGACGGACCATGTCGACCTCTTAATCGCAAATAGCGGTGTGATGGGTCCATCTGCTCGCCCGCCAGCCGCAAAGCCGGACGGGTCAAAACCAAGTCTCGCAGAAGTCCGTGATCAGCTATGGTCTGTACCCATGGAGGATTTTTCCAAGGTCTTCGATATCAACGTCACAGGGTCATATTATACTGTTCTCGCTTTCCTGCCTCTGCTTGAGGCAACGAATAAGAGGAGACCGGCACCTGAGAAGGATAAGCTCTCCCCACCGACTGCGCAGGTTGTCATCACCACTTCGATAGCGGGTTTCATTCGGCAGGTGCCCTTCAGTTTTGCGTACAGTCTTTCCAAGTCTGCAACGAATCATCTTGTCAAGATGCTGTCGACTACGCTGAGCTCGTACGACATCCGTGTCAATGGCATTGCGCCAGGCCTATATCACTCGGAGATGTCTGCGGATGCATTCAAGGTCGGAGATAGGGGCATTTCTGACGGGTCGTTCCCACGTGAAAGGATTCCCCTCACGAGAGGTGGTAGTGAGGAAGACATCGCGGGTCTGATTCTTTGGCTGGCGAGTGCTTCCGGTGGGTACATCAATGGTAGCATCATTGTCACTGATGGAGGACGAACCGCAGTCCATCCGGCATCGTATTAGAGGCGTTGGGAAGCGCAGAGTACTCTACACATGCAGGCATGGTATCAGGTACCAAAAGGGCATAGAGGATCAGTCATTGCGCTATAAGTGAGCAGCTTATATTAGTCCATATCCATCGTTCACATAGAAAGAAACTCACTTATAGTATTAGTGGTCAGTCTTGCTCGAGATAGTTACATAAGAACGCTGATGTAAACATGGCTCATTTGGAGATATACAATCAATAATAACACTCAGACTAGATTGTTGCTGTCAATCGTTGCACAAGATAGTCTCCGGCGGTGATGCCTGGGTATTTCTTTTTCTGGCTAGTTTCTTCCCCGAATGTCCCCGGTAGGGCATCAATAAACTTGTTCATATTGGGATTGCAGAAGTACGCGATACTATATCGCGCCGGGTACGCATCTGAGCCATCATCTGCGCCGTCACCTGCGATACTCGGAGGCTCGACAACCCGATGACGAGTGCTTTTGATGATGTCGTTGGACCACCGAGCTAATAGGTCTCCAGCATTGACGACGACTGTGTCTGCGATAGGCGTAGCATCGACAAAGGTGCCCTTGGGACTCCGAACCTGCAGCCCTCCACGACGATCTTGGAACAGAAGTGTGA